TATCATTTTCGGTCCAGACTTATAGAAGTTATCATTTTCGGTCCAAATTCTTATAAAACGATACTTTTGACCCATTTAACCAAAAATTTACATTTTTGGTCCAAATAACAATTGAAGTCCACAAAAGTCAAAATTTTAATAAATAAGACAATAAACCTGTGAAAGCCTATTTTGAGGAAATTTACACTTTGGCCCTTTTAAAATCATGATTATCATAAAAATCCATAATTATTCAAAATAATCCCTTTTTATCAAAAATTTACATTTTCGACACAACTTTCTTCAAAATGACAATTAAGCCCACAAAAGACCAAAAATTTGCAATTTTTAGTCCCAAAACCGTGAGAAGCCCATATATGGTCCATTTATGAAAATATTTATATTTTTGGTCCCTATAAGTTCTCAAATGTAGAGATGTGCCAAGTTTAGCAAAAATTTCCTTTTTGAACCCCTTACTAGCCGTGAGTTACATAAATAACCCATACTTTGTCATTTTGTCGATTTTAGCCCATTTCATGAAGTTTTCCTTAGATTCAAGTAACTTAAGTGTATTTTTAAACTTTTTTCTTGTAAGACATGTTGAAATAAGTATTACGTTATACTAATATCATCAACTTTTGGTAAATATTCATGTTCATGAAATTTACAACGCATAAACACATATGTAACCAAAGATAACATGAAAAATCATGCATATAAACATGGTTCTACACAAAACAACTTGTATTCTCCCCCAAAACAAAGTAAAAATCAAAAATAGGGGGTATGAACTCACATTGAGGTTGATGGTTCGGTTTTGGAAGGAGATTGGATGAGTTTTCAGCCTAGCTCACCTCTTTGAGGAGATCTTCGAATTCTAGGAGATTTTATGAGCATGAGTCATGGTTTAAAAAGTTAATAAGTAATAATTTTACCATAAACATGAGGTTAAACTTCTTGAGTGAAAGTAGCTTACCAAGATGAATGGATTTTGATGAAGTGTTCCTTGAACTCCCTTACAAGCACACACGAATTTGGAGAGGAAATATGAGACTTTCTTAGGAGATATAGAGAGGATTTTTGGGTGAGTTTGAGAGTGAAATAAAGGTGGTGGTGGGATCTCCGGCCGTAAGTAGAGAGAGGGAGGGGAGAATACCCAAAATGGTTAATACATGGAGGTTTACTCCTAGAGATATGTGGGTTAATTACTTGGAAACCCATTAAAAAATAATTAGGTGGCACACCCTAATTATCCCCTTATTGTTTTATCTACTTAATTATTTTTTTATTTTTTTAAACAACTATGGCCCGAGAAAGGGGAAAGGGAAAAGTAAGAAGAAAAGTTTGGGCCATATTGGTTAATTTCGATATTATGAGGCCCAAGATGAAGGTTTTTCGGCCTATTTGGCCCTCATGAGGGCTCATGGCCCAATAGTGATAAGGAAAAGGGTTTACGGTCCATTGAAGCCCAAAAAATAGTTTACGACCCATTAGGGTTTATGAAACCATTTACGGCCCATTATTGCCCATTAGAGATAAAATGAATCATTCTAGGCCCACATGGCCCAAAATACTTTAGTTTCATGAATGTAGGTCCTATTAGAGTCCAAATGGAGTTCCTTAGCCCAAAATAGCCAAATTAAGAGTTTACTAGTCCATTAGGCCCAATAAGAGGATCCTAGTCCATAATAAATTTGAACCGGGATATTGGGGTTACAAACCCTCAGTTGAATCTGTGCCATGTATTGAATTAGGTTTTGGACTTCACGAGTGAGTTTTCATTCAATGCTTTGTTTTTCGAATGAACATTTGTAAATAATATCAACTTAGAACTTCAATTATACAAGAGTTTATCATAAGAATACAAAATTTTCCAGCAAAAAATGCTAATTGTGACAATTTTTATCCAAGCCGGTGGCGGATGCTCTTAGGGCCAGAGGGGCCATGGCCCCCCTGGTTTTAAGGGTTAGAACAGGTACATGTATGGTTATTTAACAATAAAAATTCATCAAAATGATTGATGGCCCCCTTGATTTTAAGCTTTACATGCGTCTATAGATAAGTTAATTTTTTTTTTGGAAAGTTATCAACCAAATCAGAAGACAATATAACTCATTAACAAAATTACAAATATATCGGAAAATCACTAACAAATCAAAACAATCCTTCTTTCAACTATGTAAATGTTAAACTCTACAACAAAACCATAATCGTATCTAGTTTACAATTAACTCAAGCTTTGAGTATAAATAAATCAGTAAACCCTAAAAAATAATTGGTACAGTCGGAAAAGAATTTCTGAAACCTACCCGAAGAATAACACAGTCCTCGGAAAGTTCATCTTCTGACCTTTCTCCATGCTTTCTCTCATCTAGTGTTCACTAGATTACTAATCTTGAAACTATGCTTGTTGCCGCTTTAATTTCTCTCTCGTCTCCTCTCTATCAGAAGTTGTAAGTTATCTCTTCCCTCTCAATATCTTTCTTTCTCTCACAGTTATTAGATAAGATTGTAATAGTGGGTATATCTTGTATATCTATATGAAAAGACTAAACATACAAAAGTCTAGATTTAAAGCTGCAAAACACTTAAAAACAAAAGTCTAGACTTATAGCTGCAAAACACTTAAAGAGGCATGTATTACTTTATTATAAAAAATCAACTCATTCCAGTAAATTATTAAGTGTATATAAAATATTTGTAAACAATAAAAAATCATTAAAATCTATTACAATTTATTGGTTAGAAAGCGAAACGGATAAAGTCAGAATGTGTATATATAGATATGTTGTATTAACAATTGTGTTTTTTTTTTATCATGAAAACCAGTTGTCAAGGTACAAAAGCAAATAAATAAAACAATTTGGTATGACATTATAAATATACGTTTAGAATATATAATAGATGAAAACTTTTGTTAATTAATTTTGTTATGTATTATTGTGCATCAACATAAATAAACAATATACTCTTTGAAGGGTTTGTAACTCGGTACAAAAAATTGTTTATATAAATTTCTTTTGATGTTTTGGTTTCAGCCCCCCTAATCATAATGGTCATGTTCCGCTCCTCATCCAAGCCAAGGCTACTATTGGAAAGCAATGCTTTCTTTCTTAGTCAGCCATCTCCCAACTTCTTTCTCAGACCTTGTTTTCCGAATCCAATGCCAAGATTTTGTAAATGTCTGACCTGACTCGGTCAGACGCATATCAAACATGACCTAATGTAATATCAAATCACAATAAAATATCGCTCAATAAAACTATTCAAACTAATACATATCAAATATTTAAAGTACTTATATGCTAGCAATTATCGCAGTCCCTATTCCAATAACGGTCACCGGCCGCTATTTGAAATTGTGGTTCGTAGTGGTATAACGGTTTTTTTATATAATACATAGTTCATATATTCACATATTTATATTCAATTGTTAGTAACATACAAACACTCTAGCATTTCACAAATTTATGTTTTTATAATTGCCAATCACATGTTCACAATAATACAAGTTCACTATAAAAAATACAGAATTAAGATGATAATTCATAACTGATAAATAAATAAATAAATAAATAAATAAATATATATATATATATATATATATATATATATATATATATATATATATATATATATATATATATATATATATATATATATATATATATATATATATATTCTAATAGAGAGGTAAATGTCATAACATATACTAACATGATAAATGTCATGACTCATACCATACTTACATGATAATTGACAACATAATAACATTTGACTTATCATAAATTGAAAAAGTTGGATATGCTTTTAAATCAAATAATTTAAACCTCAAATATTTGAACTTGCGACCCCTCCTATAAGGAGCCTAAGCATTATTCGGTGAGCTAAACATTGCATTCTCATTACTTATATAACCAATATTATCAAACATTAATTCATTGCTCATTTGGAAGACACAAATATAAATTGAAGTTTTTTGTGTTTTTGATCATTCAACAAGTTCAAATCTTGAAGGATCTTGTGTAATAGAATTTTTTTCCTTTTTTTTTTTTAAATGGTTGACTGTGTATCAGTTTTATTTAATTAATATGTTTATAACCTCTTTAAAAAATTGGTTGTGTAAAGAATCATAAAAAATATTAAAGTGATGGATTTATCGTAAAAAAAAAGGAAAAGGGAAAATGGTGGTGTAAACAATAAAAATGGCATAGAATAAAAAAAATGAGGGATTTAAAGTGTAAATAAATTACTTTTGTTATAATCTGCTTATGAAGAACGAAGCATCAGCCAATTTTTTTTTTTAAAATCTATTGCATATCTAAATAAAATAGGGGTATAGTTGTCAGACTCTTAATTTAAGTGCATTAATCATCTTTGGTGGAAAAATCATTGTCCATTTAATTATATATTTTTTTCAACATATTTAATTAATACTTAATTCTTCAATTAATTTATAATATAAAAAGATTAAAAGAAACCAGCAAGGAGTTTTTTTACATTGATTAAGAACCAAATAACAAATCGAACTATCGTGAGTGAAAAAATAAAATTAGGGATCAAATGCATATATTACCCAAACAATATGGACAATTCAGGTAATTTACTTTAATGTGAAGAAGTGAAAAACATAGTGCCAATTTTATCATAGTTAATTTTATCAAAATATTATATATTATATATATACTAATATACGCCTTGTAAAACAATAGATTATCACGTTTTTAATAGTATCATTTAAGTAGTTATTAACTATTTATAATACTCTTGAATTAATTAGCCAAAATTCAATATTTTCTCAAAGCTAAAATATCATATGTTATGTTTGCCTTTTCGAAAAGCCAAGAAACAAGCCAGCTATACAACAAAACAAAATTTGACTTTGGTAAACGTTGACTCACCTACCAAACACGAGACATTCATCTCGAATTTCGATCTATGACAACCAAAATCAGAAGCAACGAAACTTATAATTCCAGCTGATCTGATCAGATACACTCTTGTAATTCTTTTCAACTTCCATGGCCATCCTCACTGAATTACCAGAAGAACAAGAAGCGGCAATAACATATGATGTTTTCCTGAGTTTCAGAGGGAAAGACACTCGTCTGGGTTTTATGGATCACCTCTACCAAGCTTTGGTGAATGAAAACATCTCTACCTTTCTTGATGAGGAAGAGGTTGAAACTGGGGAAGAACTTAAACCCGAGCTTGCAAGAGCTATAAAAAGCTCTCGTGCTTCCATAATTGTGTTATCCAAGAACTACGCATCTTCAACATGGTGTCTGGACGAGCTCGTGATGATCCTTGAGCAACGAAGGGTCTCTGATCATACTGTTCTCCCTGTTTTTTACAACGTCGAGGCGACACATATCAGGAAGCAAGAAAACACTTTTGGAGAAGCGTTGTTTGAACACAAACAGAGGATTGAGTCCGAAAAGGATGTGGAGAAGAAAATTCAAGGTGCTCGTAAGTTGGAGATGTGGACGAAAGGACTTACAGAAGTTGCTGATCTGAAAGGAAAGGATGCAACTGGAAGGTAAAACTTTTATGCTTTATTTCCGCAGAAGTCTTATCATTTTGTATCGTCGAGTATAGACAAGATAGATCATACTATCAGCCTATTCAGGATGCAATAGGAAACAAAGAAAAGTAAAAGGGAATCAATCAAACTGGTGTAATAACAAACAACTTTGCTAACCGACACCTTGAGAATCGAAACAGTTTTAAATAAAACTATCATCTTGAATCTTGTTGAGGCCATCTGATGATATTAATTCATAGCACTTTTGTCTGTCTAAATTTTCCGTTTCAATCAAGCTCTCAATCAAACCTTTTATGTCTTGTAACATCCAGGAATTCATTCGGGTCATAGTGGAGTCTTGCATGAAATAGATTCGAAGGATTCAAAAGACTAATTATCGATTAAATTTATTAATTTTGATTTACATGGGTTGACTTGTTTATCATATTTAATTCAATTTTCAGACGAGAGACTGTATTCATTGACGAACTTGTTAAGGAAATTAGTAGTAGACTGGAACTACACACACGGACTAAAATCCCCCATCTAATTGGGGTGGACATGTCTATTCTTACCATAAGTTCCTGGTTGAAAGGAGGATCATCATCAAAATCTGCTGAAATTCTCACAATATGGGGAATGGCGGGGATCGGAAAGACAACTTTGGCAAAATATATCTATAGGTTGCACTGCCATGAATTTGAAAGAAGTAGCTTTGTTGAAGAGATCGAAAGAAAATGTGCAGAACAAACATATGCACTACTTGATTTACAAAAACAGCTTCTTAGAGATCTTCTTAGGAAAAGAAATATTGAAGAACATGATGTAGATGTGTGCACATCTAAGATTGAGAAAGCATTACTTAATAAACCAACACTTGTGGTTCTTGATGGTGTCGATAACTTTGAGCAGGTAGATGTGTTGATTGGCACAAAAGGTTTTCATCCAGGAAGCAAGATTATATTAACAACCAAAGATGGGCCGTTAACAGAAAAAAGTGCAATTTTTGGCATAAAAGTACCTCCAAAACATACAAAGCATGAACTTTATGGTTTAAGTGCTACAGAATCTCTAAGACTTTTATGTTGGCATGCATTCGGACAGTATGATCCTAAGGAAGGTTATGAGGAAGAGGCAATAAGAGCTTCAAAGTTTTGTGGAGGACATCCACTCGCGCTTAAGGTTTTAGGTAGTTCCCTAAATAATGAAGATGTGGGGACATGGAGTGAGATCTTTGAAATGCTAGCGACGGGAGAATTCCATACTCATGTACGCAAGGTACTCCAGATTAGCTTTGATTCTTTGCCATTTGAAGATTGCAAAGAATTGTTTAAGCATATTGCATGTTTTTTTGTTGGAAAAGATAGAGAAGTTACTGAAACAATATTAAAGGAATGTGGTAGTCGCACATCATATGGGATCAAAAAGCTCATCGATAGATGTCTTCTCACGATTGGGGGAAGAAATGAGTTGAGGATGCACCAATTGCTTCAAGAGATGGGGAGAGATTTAGTTCGCAAGGAATCACCTGAGAAGCCATGGAAACGTAGTCGTGTATGGAATCATGGAGAGTCGCTTAATTTGTTGAAAGAAGACAAGGTAATAAAAATAACATACTCTTCATATGTAATCATTATTTTTGTTTCATCTATTAAAGACTATGCATATAAGGCTATCCATCATTATCTACATGATTAGGGTACAGGAAAGATCCAGGGTCTTGTCCTTGACATGAAAATGTTGGAGAAAGAACCTTTACGGGGATTAAGTGTTCCAGGGCATGAATTGGAAGACAATGATCCAAACATGATTTTTGGAATAGGCCCATCAAACCATAGCATTCTAAAGCTCCCATCTTCTCATTGCAAGAAAATTGAATTGAGAACAAATGCATTACGGAAGATGGATAAACTAAATCTACTCCAACTCAATCATGTAAAGCTCAAAGGATCCTACAAGAATTTTCCAGAAGGTTTAAGAGGATTGTGTATGCATGGCTTCCAATTGAAATACATACCTTCAGACTTACCGATGGAAAATTTGGTTGCTCTTGACATGTCTTACAGTAATCTCACACAGCTTTGGAAGAAACCAAAGGTATTGAATTCACAGATTTAATTTACTTCAATTCAGTTTTTAAATGATTATATAATATCTTCCTAATACTGTTCTTGATTGAATGATCTTCAATGCATCAGATTCTTGTGTCATTAAAGATTCTTAACCTGAGTTACTGCAAGTTTGTTAGAATTGGTGGCTTCCCTGGGCTACCTGCGCTTGAGAGATTGATATTAGTAGGATGTGAAAAGTTGACAGAGGTGTGTGAATCAATTGGTGGATGTGATGAACTTGCTTTTCTTGATATGAGCTACTGCAAGGAGCTTCAAAAGATTCCAAGCAGCATCGGCAAGTTAAAGAAACTTAAAGTTCTATCAATAAACGGTTGCATAGGCGCAAGTGCCTTTTCCAGTGAGATGAAAGTGCTAAATGCAGACGATATTAGCATGAAAACTGATAATTCTTTCTCTTCGCTTACAAATTGTATACCAGCAAGTCCAAAATCACTTTTGCTTTCGTTGGCTCCATCATTACTATCCTTGTCACTTAAAAATAATAATTTACGGACTGAATCCTTTCCAAAAGACTTTAGTAGCTTGTCGAAGCTGAAGGAATTATATTTAGATCGAAATCCAATTGATTCTTTGCCTGATTGTGTGAGAAGCCTTATCAGGCTCGATAAACTCAGTCTTACAGGATGTTCAAAGTTAACATCAGTTTGCTGCCCCATAATTAGTACACTCAGAGATTTGCGCGTGGATGACTGTCAATCACTTGTTAAAGTAACATTTCATCCAGTAAAGCAAAATCCAGATATTTGTAATTACCTTATGTCAGATTCGGTAACTGAAGTTGAAGGGCTAATCAAAATCCAAGATTTAGCGCAAATTGATGAAAAGATACTATGCAGTTTAGGGTGGACAAATTTACAGCACGTGAAATATCTCGATCTAAACATCTGGAATTCCGATTCATGGATAAGTGTAAAGAAACTTCCGATCCAGGTTCTTTCTCTATCTCTCTCTCTCATATGTAGAACACAACCATGAATTAATGCTATAAACTTATTATATCCAATTTATATGTTGAATGCAGATGTATTTTGAATTTGGAATATTCAGCACATGTTTTCCTGGGGAAGAGCTTCCAAATTGGTTTGGTAACAGAAGCCCTGGATCATCATTATCATTTACTATTCCATCATCTCCAGTGAATAAAAGTCTTCAGGGATTAAATATAGGCTTTGTGCATATGTTTCCGGGTACAGGACGGGTTAGTGTTTTAGGGATAAAAGTAAGGAATGTGACAAAAGATCGCAGCTGGACATATTATGGTGTTGTATTTGCTATTCAAACAGCGAATGGAGGTTTAGTTTGGTTAAGCCATTGGATGTTTGCTAACAACGAGCTTGAAGCTGGTGATGAAGTTAGTATTAACATAATAGATGATGAGGAAGAAGATGTAGAGCAGGATGGTGTAATAGTAACGGAGTGTGCAATAAGCCCTGTATACACTACTGGAGACAAAGAAGAAGATCCGTTGGGTTATTACAAGTCATGGAAAGTCATGGTTGGTGAATACGTCCCACATTTGGAATTCACAATAGGAAATTACCTCATTACAAGAATGACCAAATATATGTATCGTCGTGGAAAACATAGGCATAGTTGGAGGGGCATAAAACCCATGCATAGAGCTAGATATGTATATGGGGTTTTGCGATAACAAGTGTAAGTATTTTACTAAAATTTATCATCAGAGGCATCGCATAGAAATGGGTTATGGGCAAATAATTATTGACTATTAGGTTGTAATTCCTTCCGTACCCTAATTGACTATTTCTCTCTATTGTGACTGCTCTATCCTCCCGATATTTTTCAGAACATAGATCCCCTAATTCCCCTCGCAGAACACTACTAGAATATTTGGTTTTACCTACATAATATTTCCTACAAAAGTGTTTTGTAGGAAATATCCATCGAATTTCCTACAAACTTAGACAAAAGTAGAATCTAACAAAATTCCTACATATTTCCTATGGAAGTAGATATCCTAAAGATTTTGTAGGAAAAGCGTTGGAAGTTTCCTACAGAATACCAAAAAAATATTAATTAATATAAAATTACTATTCTATTGGAATTTTGTTGGAAATATAATGGCAGGAACTGGATATTGTTTCCCACTTCTTTTTTTTTTTTTTTTTTTTTTGCTTTTTGCCTCCTTTTGCTTTGCATTCCCCCCTTTTTCAAGTATTATTATTTTATATATTATTATAATAATTATAATTTCATATTACTATTAATATAAATATAAATAGAATTATTTGAGACTGTTTCCTGTACTGGTCATTGATTCCATATGTATTTGGTCCATTAGAGTTATATATACTTAGGTGATGGCTTGTTCAGTCAACCAAATAAAAGTTAAAGGGGGAAAAGGAGTTAGAATAACTATAAAGGAATATTCTAATTTTATTTCTAACTTATGGTGTTGATTCAGGAAAGAGAACTAGAAAGCCTTCCGCAGCCATTGTATCTGAATCCAGCAGAAAAGAGAATATCTTGTTTAGACATTTTGATGTAAAAAGAGCATTGCTTTAAATAAGAACCATGTTCATTTTCATATGCACATTAGGTGTTTGGTAAAAGTTCTCAACCATATCTTTGTTACTTGTGGTATTGATATTGCTAGTTTTAAATATTGGGATCGATCGATGTTGAATATTTGGCAGGAGATGGTATGTACAAACTTGTTTCTATCACTGGAAACTTGTATTCATCACAATTGTCCAGGTTTGTTGGTTGTTTAACCTTGTATAATGCTTAAATATGATGTTATTACATAAACTCCACATCTCTCAAACCACAGTGTATGGCATAGATTGAAGACCCCCCCCCCCCCCCCCCCCCCGAAGTACTCTGCTACATTCTCTTTTTCGTGCACGTCAAAAGCAAATAGGTTAGGAAAGATGATTTTAGAGGCTCATTACAATTACAACAACACTGATTATTCCAGAATTTTTATCCTCTCCATTTCACAAATTTCTTGTCATCAATCCAAATGCATCTATATTATTCGAGCTTAGCTGAAAGACAGCATCAAGTGTTCTAGCTCTTTCAAACTTCACACTGGGACTTTGAAAATCTCCAAGAAGCTAGTCTCTTTTAAAATAAAAAAAAATAAAAATCAGTTATCGGCTTTCATGCACTTATCTTTTTCATAGAATAGCCCCCCTTAGCTTCTGAAGTAGAATTGATTGTATTATATTTATGCTATCAGTAATTTCTTTCATTTTAAATTTGCTGTGAATAAATTTAAGTAAATAGATGTGTAACGTTGTTACCTCAACTAGCCAATCGATGATAATGCCTTTCATCCTGTCTGTTATGTCATGTTGTTGTGACATGTATGTTGGTGAAAAACATGTTAATACCTGCAACTTTATTGGAAAATGTCATTCATTTTGGTCAAGCAGAAATGGGAATTTAAATATGTCTCATTCTACATTCAATCCTTTTCTTAATAACGCATAATACATTGAAAAATCTAGTAAATTATACCTTGTGTTTTCAACTTCAGATTAGGACATTATACTTTAAAAAGAGATGAAAGTAGGATGCTATAAACATTATGCTATTTCTTGCAATTAATTCAACTTTCACCTATTTTCCATATTAAGGCATTATATTTCAAAATTTTACTCATACATACCATCGTACTTTCAATTTTTTTTTATAAGACATTATACTTAGGTATTTTTGCCCCCAAATAGAATTGTAATCAGTTTGCCAGTTTTGTCCATGTGTATGGAATGTATGGTTCCCCACTACTCATTTTTTACTTCTAGTTGAGACACAAATCTTCCATCAATGAATGCCCATGAATACATAAAACAAGAATCCTAATGACAAATGTGCATATAGACAAATTAAAAAAAAAAAAAAAAAATTAAATCTACCTCTTGCTTTTAGTAGTGGGCAAAAAATTTATCAATGTACTCAATCGGCATGTTCAATGTCCAAAAGCGGCTCCTTGTATACATCTTCATCCCGAAATAAGGATCCAATACTTTTAAGTTATTTTCAACTTAAAAGAAGAAAAGAGCAAGAAGATTAAACCCAAAGATGAGAAAATAAATTACCATCGTCTCTATGTCATCCAGCATAGCTTCTGTATGTTGAACAAACACTGGTGCATTGAAATCATCTTCAGCATCAATGATGCTCAAGTTTTCAGTCTCAATCTCATAAGAGATAATTTGGAATTTTAGCTTTTTACCCTGTCATCAAAAGGAAGTTGATGTATACAATATGCAAACTTAGATATAACATAAAAGCAATCAAAATAGGGCTTAAAGTCGCTCAAACTGTAGGCAGATTCTTACAATCTTTAAAAAGAAATCACAATGTATCCACAAAATCAAGAAATAAGGCCTTTTACAGACTTAGTAATGGATCAACTGGAACAAGTTTCTTACTAACCATGGGTTTTTTTCTAGAAAGAAAGAATATCAACATGGGTACTTGAGGAAAGAGAAGATCATTGTTCACAAAGGTTAATGGATGAATAAGAAAGATACAAAAGTTGATTTTATCACCCTGGTAAACCATTAGCAGCATAAGGATATGCTGGTGGAGCTCTGATGATGTTCTTGTTGATATTACTCAATGCTCTCCTCCTGTAAAGCCTAAAAGTATCAGATTTAAGTAGGTTTATAAGAATCTTTCCTTATTCAGACATTTTATCAAACAGGTAGTCTACATGTACTGAAGAAAGAACTACTACTTGTGGATCTTCATTTCAATTACCTAGTGTTCTTGTAGGGCGGATTACATTTGTTTTCTCTGGAAGATTTTCATTTGTTTTCTCTCTCCTGCCACCACAATGCTCCCATATTTCATAATCACCAAACAGATGTTGGGTAGGGCATTCAGGCATTTGAACATCCACAAATAAAGATCTTTGTGTTTCCTACACTGAAGGAGAGAATGAAAATCAGAACATATACATGGGATTTGAGTGCTCAAAGGACGGAGATAAAACAATGAAATATGCTCTGAGATGTTGTGAACCTATTATTACAAATCTGTATCTTTCTACATGACATACTTTACTTACTCATCTAGATTCTAGCATGGTTTTGGTGTTAATTTGTATGAGGAAACAATTGAGACATGCATAAAAGTGACGATGCAGAAAACTATGGGTTCGTTTTTCTGGTGATTAGAAGATTAGCTCATAAGTTCACAGATAGTAAAAACATGGAAAACAAAGTAACCTCAAAGAAGAGACAAGACGAACAGCTCTTAAGTTCAATAAGCTCATTTAGGTTGGTCATGTGGTAGCCTTGGACTCAACCTTGTTATCTCGAGGCAAAATTGATACCAAATTCAACATCAGATGCCGATACCTGATATGAATCAAAACCACGAAATTAGTGAAAAACTTCCCTACAAAATGGTGTTAGATAGGATTAGTGGCATGAAGTGAACAAATCAAAAAACATGTAACCTGAAATTGATGCTGCGTGAGAAAGTTATAAGAGCTTTCTCTCTGTTTCTAAACCTTGTAGCATGCAGTTGTAGAGTCTTGTGTGTTTTCTGGCTTGTCTTCAAACCAAGCAGAGTCCATAGGTCTCTCCGGTGCGTTTCATCCTTCTTTGCAGCCGGAACCTCTACGTCGGGAACTTAATTACGGACTTCCAAAACACTTCATGTATTATATTATCATCATCAGACTTTAGAATCGATTTCTATTTTTAGGATAATCGTTGAAGTCAACAAAATTAAACGATGGTATAAAAATCTAACCTGTAGCCAGCAAGAGAGAGAGAGAGAGGTTGGCCGTCGTTCACGTACCGAGAGAAGGAGGAGCACATAATTAATCCAGATGTCCCGCCCACGAGGCCACGACCCTTAATATGTTGATTTACACAATTGCTCTTACAATAATAAATTGAAAAATAAATATTTTACCGACAAATTACGGAGAGAATTGTAAATTTGTTGATTTCCATCAATAAACATCGGTATATTTATCTCCCACCAGCTTTGGAGAATTGTAAGTTGCCAAGTATTGTGGAGGATATCCATTGTCTCTTAAAGTTTTGGGCAGCTCATTAATTAATAAAGATGCAGCCATATGGAGTGATGTCCTTGAAATGTTGGAGGAGAAAGGATATTTAACAGATGTACAAGATGTGTAACGTCATAAATTCCGAAACGAAAATTTTTTCATTTTTACAATCATCAAAACATTAAGTAATAAGTTTAGGTTCCAATGTAACAATTCGTCACGACCGATTACATAACAAAAGATCACAAAATAGTTTCCCCGAGTGTGTGTACGATCACACCGGTGCCTTCCCACGGTCCTCGCTAGTACCTAAAACACATAACACAACAGCTATAAGCATAAATGCTTAGTGAGTTCCCCAAAATACAACCTACGCACGTACGCCTTTCCAGGCCTCGACCTTCCGGTCCATGTGTCTCAGGGGACTTCTGTCCCGACTGGGTAAACCTTCTGGTCCTACCCACGTCAACCTTACGGTCCATATAACCACGCCTTCCGGCCCATAACATGTTGCCTTCCGGCCCAAATCAAGCATATCATACATGGCACATATAACGAATAACTTATCACACATAAGGCATATATCTCATATCATATTCGACATTCCGGTCACACAGTCAAACCCTTCAGGGTACAGTATAGTGAGAAGACTCACCTCGTGGAAAGTCTAAGATCTCGTGTCTTGCTATCACCGAATCCAAATGACGGTTCAACCTCGCCTATACATAAAAATATCATTTAATACACAAAGACTTCCACCACTAAAACTTACCCCTTATCATCATTCCTGAAAGGGTAAAAGACCATTTTACCCTTCCTTGACCTAAAGTCCTCAAATTGACCAAAACCTTAAAAGTCAACAAAAGTCAACATTATAGTACGCGGGGCGTACTGATAGATGTACGCGGGGCGTACATCGCCAACCTCCCCCTGGATCGGGGTCTCTACCCAGTACGCGGCGCGTACTGGGAGTTACGCCCTGCGTAACTGCTAGATTCAACCACCCTCCATTTCTGGTCTTAATCGGTTAAGCCAATACTACAACTTCTAGATCCGAATCTTTCAGTGTGTCTACATCCATAAAGTCGAGACCTTTAAGCCTTGGCATGGCTGTAAAGGCTCCATCATCACACAACAACCTTTTATTCAAACTCATGGACCTAGATCTCATGTATGGTGCAATACCCATGACCAAGATGCCATTTTTATGAGTCTACAACTCCAATAGATCAGAAATATGAAGTATCTAGGCTTATGGAGGCCATTTGCACAAAAGTCTCCACCTTTGGGGACTTAAACCCTAGAAAATGATACCTTAAGCACATAACATAAACCAAATGGCAAAATCCGAACTTTTTACCTGAAAATGAAGCTTTAACCCTTGCAAAGTTCAGATCTACTCTTGAGCACCACTTCTAGCCTCTCCAATAAGCTCCTCTTCTCCTTTGTAACCTTGGAATAACACCAACAAGCTTAGAATGCACACACAAAGGCTTAATGACGATGGCACACACTATTTAGGGTTTCACTCTGAGGGATGGTGGCTGAAAAGTCCAGCCACACATTCCTTTTATAGCCCCAACAAAGGAAATTAGGGTTTGGGTCTGAATGAGTTACGCCGGGCGTAACCTTGGGTACGCCCCGCGTACCTGAGGGAAAACGCATCCAAAATGAGCCACGCGAGTACGCGCAACGTACACATTGTACGCCCAGCGTACTCGCCTTCCGTGCAAACCCTAAATTAACA